CTCCAGGAAATATGATTCAACCCCCCCAGGAAATATGTCGCTTTGACCCCCCCTCCCCCTAAGAAATCCCGGGCCTTCAATAGGGGGGGTGCGGATATTAAATGGAATGGCCCAATAAGAAACTCACTTGAGGTAAGTTTTGATCTCTAGATCTTGAGGCATCGGAACTTGCAGGTCTACTGATAGACTCCAAACTTGGAAAGAAAAAGTAAACAATAATACAAATAGTAGAGATGCATGCAGGGTTTTTTTTTAAAACATACAAAAGTCATGTAATTAACGATAAATAAATGTCAATTTCTTACGGTTACCATACTCCTTTTTTTGTTTTTGTTTACGAAAACCACACGTCAGAAGAAGTAACTAAAGCGTAAGAAAGTCTCAACTTTAAAAATAATGACAACTTACCTTCCTTCCGAGACGATTTCCATGACAACTTCTATGCAACTTATGTAGAACCCAAACTCCAAACTGGAATGACACTTTTCTTTATAGTAAGCAAACAGACGTTTCTCATCTTTCTATGCACAAATAATGGTAAAACTCCTACGAAACTAAAAACAAAGATTCTTTAGACGTCAGAAATCCCCTTATGTGTCCAAACATTTTCGCAAAACGGCCGCAAACATTTCAGGTCCATCGTAAACAAACTCTCGCCCGCTAAGTCGCCATTTTGAATTAAAAGCGCGGTTACCAAGTTATTTTTTCAGTTCCCTCCGTGAGGACAACATGTCGCTCTACGATGGAGTGGACATTGATGGTGTACCAATGCAATCAAATGCCACGGAAGGAACAGATATTACCAAGCTTTGTAAGTTATTCTATGAATTATTTTAATTCAAGATGTATTCTTTTGCAGCTGACTGGAAGTTATTGTGTAGCAATTGTAAACACAACTCTGTTGAGCGAAAGTGATTCAGAATTTAATAAATCGTGAGTCATGGTCATACAGCTCGATCTGATGAGTGGAAACTTAAGGACAAAGGCACATCTTTTGAACTGCGTATTGGCTGATAAAGAAACCACAGACGCGTTTCAGATGTTCTAAACTGGGAATTAATACAACAAAATCGCGCTGAAAATCCATGCAATCGTTTTGTTTCAATACTGCCATGTTTCTCAACATTCTTAAAGGAACAACATGAAAGTGTGGATCACAATAAACATACCAGTTTTTTAGGAAATAATCCTTTTATTATTCTGTACACTTTTTCATCTGTAGCAGAAATAAACCAAGTAATCAATAATTTTAGAGAGATATGCATGTGATTCTTTGTCATCAATGATGGACTGTCATTTTCTCCATTCTTGCATGGGAGGGTTTCTTATTTTGTCAATAGATATCCATTGTGCAAGGCTCAAAGGAATTTTTTTTATTCCTCACCATTTCTCTACTTAACAATCAGCTGATTTTGTAAGGAGAATTAAAATTATCATAATTTGTCCATGGGGTGGATGTCTACTGGAATTAGTGTTAAGCCTGAGTATTGGGGAGGGGGAGAATTTCCATCAGAATATGTGGTCAAAATCGCCATCATTTGGCTCAATAATTGAGGAAAATCAGAACAAATCTCTCTACTTTTGCAGATAACATTCCTTTAGGTAACATAATTTGTAGCTGTGTTCAATTTATGAGTTCCCAGCATTTGAAGTTTGCTTGTGAGTTTTTTTTTCCAAGATTGCAGGGTAGATCTCATGCTAAAATGGGATTCGGTCTTATTCTTCCTTGCAAGAAATCTAATGTCCCTGACCTTCCACCCAGACTCTTAGTTCTTTAGGAAAATTCATTACCTAATGAAGGAATTCCATGTTAAATTGCATGCACTAAAAACCGGTATTGCACAAATCACAAAGTGATGAATGCAATATTGGTTTTAAAGTGTGATTTAACTTGGAATTTTCCTTTAATCGTATAATTGAATAAAAAAAAGAAAAAGAAAGAAGACAGCATTACCTATAGTTGTTATTTATATGTAGATGCAAAACAATATAACTTAGCCTTGTTTTCAACTCACAATTCCATGTTAAGTACCTTGCTTTATTAACCAATCAGAATGCGAGATTTTATTGAATAATGTCATTGTATTCCAAGGTTGGGAAAGACAGCAGAGATCAAATGCACCATGTATGCTTGGGGTCCCCCCCCTCCCTCAGGTTTAACATAGCTGGGCATTTTTGGTGCATTATAATTATGTTCAACTGATATTAACTTGATGTAACAGAAAACTCTTGAAGCTAATTTATAAGGACATGTATGGCAGAAAGAAGGGAGAATATTTATTCATCAACTAATCAGATCTCAAGAGTTAAAGGAATAAAATTTCTTGCAGCTGGTTGGTCATCTAGTTACAAACTTCTGCAGACTCAACTACAGAGAAAGAAAGTTGCTCAGACAAGACCAGTATCAACATCTGTAAGTTGTTCAAATACTAACAATTAAAGCCTTTAAAAAAATCTTCTCTTCTATGGGCACAATCTTTGATTCCTGTTTCATGTTCTTGAGTCAAACCAATCAACTGTTTTGGCTACACAGCTTACAATAGGTGGCTGGAAACATTTTTCCTTTACTACCTACATACACAATACTTTATTTGATAAAGTAGGTTAATTGATGGCAGCAAATGCTGATGTGGACCTGCTCTAACAGTGACAAATATCATAAAAATACATGCAAAAGTAGGTGGAAAAAGTATTTTACAGATGAAACGCAAATAACTAAATAGCTAAAATAAATTATTATTGTTAAAAATATATAAATGGTAAAATGATATGCGTGAAATAAAGAGTTCATTCACTGTTAAAATCATTGACGTTGATGTTCATAGCTTTTGGGTTAGGGCCAAATAAAATAAAGGTGAGTTTTAAATGAGGTAAAGCTTGGAAAAGCTTTTAGCTGGGTTGGTAAGCAGTTCCAGACTATACTAGCATGGTGGGTAAAGGAGCCCTGAAGAACTTCTGTCCCAAATAAAGAAATCTTGAAGTTGTGAACAAATTCATTAAGGATTTGACAAGACTGTCACCAGAAACTCTTTGGTCAACAAGTGTGTGAGAATCACTTGAGAGCAAAGGGAAGAAGTTAGTTTTTTAGTATTCTGAAGGTAGCTTGTTATAGCATAGGAAAACTGCTTTTAGCCATCTTCAGTCATACAAAAGGTTGTAGGTATTTACTGTTAATAATTACATTTTTGTTGAAGGTTGTTCTTTGTCTTGGAATGTAATTACTTCTGATGTAAATTTCTATTCTTTGACTAGATTCTGCAAGTCTCCTTAATGCAAATTTAAGTTTCTACACCTTAATTTTTGAATTTTGATTTAGTGGCTTTGTATTACAGCGAACCAAGGCAGTAAATCAAGTGGTACTGGGCATTAAAAGATCAGCTGAAGATTTAGAGGTATTTAATCCATATTTTGTTAATATCTTTTTATTTTGCTTTAGCTGCATTTACTACACTTTGGAAATATGACCAGGGCGCAGCACTAACGGTAGCCAACTAGCCATAGACCAGTAGAAATTCAGTTTTGGCTAGTCGTTTTTTATTTCCACCAGGCAGTTTGGCTAGTAAACAAACTGAAATTGTTATAGCATCTATGTTATCACTAGCCACTTGGCTAGTAGGTTGCAAAGTTAATGGCGATCCCTGTTGACATAAACAAACATTTGAAATTTGTTTTTTTTTTTTTTAATCTGTAGGATTCCACAGTGTCAGATCTTGATGGTAGAGAAATTCTGGTGAGCTATGAACTGCTCTTACTTCTAAGAAACCATGTTCAGGGACCCTACTGTAGCTTATGGACTTGGTTTTTGCCTGTTTTATTGATGGATATTTTTTAATTTATGGATATTGTAAGGAAAAGTTACATTTTAATTATTTCTGGTAGTTGAAGGGTGAAACACAATTTAAAAGATGTAAACTTTCAGTAGCTAGTGAGATCTATTTACTGTCAGTAATTGTTTTAAATACTCTTTGTTT